GTATATGTATCTTTGTGTGGGAGGAGATAGGGGATGTACTCCATTGATTGGGAGGAGATAGGGGATGGACTCCATTGATAATTAACTTGGCCGGAGTGTCCTGGGTGAAAGTCCCAAAATCTTATTTATTTGGGTGCCGGTTCTCTCGGACGTAGATCTGTAAAATGGCAAAGATATGGAAGTGTATGAATGATGTTTATGATTGAAATGTTGATGAATGAGTTGTAGTCTCATTTTGACCTGTTTATATGATAATAAATTATGTTAATGAATTGACTTGGGTGATAACTGGAAGTGAATTGAAATATAGGTACCAATGTTGATTGATTATAGAAAACGTTTAAGATGGTTTATAAGTGTTAAACATTTATCGAATCCTAATGTTTTAGTTATTTCTCATATACTGTTTAACGTATCTCTACTGGGCTTTGGCTCACCCTACTTGGGACACCATTTTTCAGGTACAGGTGACATGCCGCCTCCAAGGTCATAGCTTGGGAGATCTTGGAGTTGAAATCTCTGTTTTGTTGTTTTATTTTATGTTTATATATTTTTCTTTCCAGGCCAAGGGCTTTAAATTGTAAAGGGCTTCTGACCCTCTTTTATTGTAACCAAGTTATACTTGGAAAGATGTAAGCCGATAGGGCACTTATTTAGTTGTTAGAAGTTAGAGTTACATGTAACTACTTGTGTAAGGAAGACTCTGATGAATGAATTATATCTTTTCTAGCATGTTTGTGGATCTTATGAATAATTGTTTTAAGTTATACTTTGAGGGCGTTACAAAAAGGTCTGAAATAATAGTGAATAAAAAGTTATTTATTGATATGGACCTGAAAATTATCTTACCGATAAGAGAATGACTCACCCCTCGGGCAGTTCACTGGTCGCGTCAACAACTGTCGCATCATTTGATCTTTTGGGCATAAAAATTCGAGATGAAATATATATTAAATAATTTATAATAATTTCGATTGACATAATTTTTATTAACATGACAAATATTTATTGGATAATTTTTATGTTTCACTTGAATTTTTAAATAACATGATTTAATAATGGAAAATGCTAGGGATCCCAAATAATATATCAAATGTTTTAACAAATCTCTCACATGGGTGTAGGATTCACACAAACTCACATGTGTGTGGGTCCCACACCCATCTGATAGATTTGGTAAAACATTTAGTAATTTATTTACGGTCTCTAGCATTACACTTTAATAATCGATTATTTGTAGTTGGTTTAATAATTTAAAATTGATAGTCTAAAACATTTTTCATATATTTTTTGTTAGTTAAATTTTTAATTCAAATATGATGTGCAAAAATATTAGGCACACTAATAAAATTGCTACTCTCTTCGTTCCAAAATATTAGTCCTTTATTATAGTTTTTATTTTTCCCAAAATATTAGTTTCTTTTTAAAAATAAAATACAAAAATAATATGAATTTCCTGTTTTGCCCTTCTTTTTAGATTCATTAACAACATAAAAAGTACAATTATAACATTGATATTTTTCAAAAAAATGTACTATCAAAGGTAATTTTGGAAAATTAATTTTTTTAAAGTGCAATAATTGTACTACTAAAAAAAGTTGAATTCTCCAAAAGGGACCATTATTTTAGAACGGGGGAAGTATTAAAATTATCAAATCATTCAAATGAGTATGGGTCTCACACGTTTATGTGGGTCTCATATCCATGTTAGTGATTTGATAATTTCTTTCATAAAAAATTTAGTATCCCTATCATTGTTCTATTGTGTGTTTTGTTTGATATTGATGGTAATTTTTAATTTTCTAAAAAAATTATTGGAAATTAAAATTTTATATAGTATATGATGAAAATAGTTTAGAATTTTTGAAATTTTGAATGATTGTAATTAGTAGGTATTAGAAAAAATTTAATTGATTAATGAATTAATATGACCAATAAATCATTGTTATTTGATAATAGGTTTGACAAAATTAATTTAAAATTTAAACCAAACAAATACTTTTTGTACTAATACTGATATTATTTTGTCAGAGATTGTTTTAGGATAACATTATCTTACCAGTAAAATAATGACTCACACCCCCACAGGTCCACTGGTCATGTCAATTTATTGTTGTGTCAGCATACCTATCTTATCGGGAAGATATTATTCTTGGAAGACCACACCTATGGGCACAAAAATTCAAAATTTGGGATGAAATATTTATTAGATAATTTTTAATTTGGATTGACATAATTTTTAACGATTCAATAAATATTTATTAGATTATTTTTATGTTTCAGTTGAATTTTTAAACAAAAATGATACATCTTTTTAATTTGAAAATTTAAAAAAGGCACTAATGATGTAGAAAATTAAAAAAAAAAAATAATTAAGGCCAATACACCATATCACATGAGACCCACACACCAATTAAAACTATTGAAACTTTTAATTTAGGGTTTCCAATCTTTTTTCATTTTTAAATAATATGATTTATAACCCATTTGTAGTTGGTTTAATAATTCAAAATTGATGATCTAAAACATTTTTCATACATTTTTTGTCAGACAAATTTTTAATTGATAATTCAAAAATTTTGTCAGAAAATTGAAACTAAACACACTAATTACCTCTTTATTTTTTCTATATATCTTTTACACAATTGAATTTATTATTAGTATTATTTTAAAAGAATAATAATAATAATAATAATAATAATAATAATAATAATAATAATAATAATAATAATAATAGACTACAAATGCTATAAATAGGCATTATGCAAAATTATTGTGGTGGATGTTTTTGGTGTCAATGGGGAAAATAATAATGGGCTAAAGTTGTTATAAATAGATATTGTTTAGTATTTTGTAATTTTTATTTTGATAGCAGAATGAAGAAGTTAGTCCAAATTTAAAAATTTTATTTTGATAACGGAATGGAGCAGTTGGTCCAAATTTGTAAATTTTTATTTTGATAGTGGAATAAAGCAATCAGTCTGAATTATTTTTGTGTAATTTTGTGTTTTGTATATATATAATTTCCAATGTTTAAATTTTTTTAATAAGATGATTATAATAATTAATATTAAAAAACAAAAATAAGAGATAAATGGCAAAATTGACTATAAAATAACAATATATATCACTAATTTAATACAAAATGATATTTTTACACATCATTTAAATGAATTTGTCATTGATTTTTTTTTAAGTTCATCAAAATTAATTGAAATATCATATTTTACGAAATAAGACTTTCATACATATAATTAATGAACTTTTTACAAACTATTTTTATTTTAACAATCAGTAAAAAGTTCATTAATTTTAACTAAAAATCAAGCCTTTCAAAATAAAAAATATTTACCAAAAATAAGCTAAAAAAACCTAAAACAAGTTAAGGATTAAATTCTCTGCCTTCAACATCGAAACTATATGAAATGAGAGGTGAAGATTGAGCCACTGGTGGAGAAATGGAATATGAAACGAGAAATGAAGATTGAACTACTAGTGGTGGAGATCTACTAAGTTCTACATCAACAACAGATGTAGATTTTGTAAAATAAATTTCATTAATAATTATATATATAGTTAAATAAAACAAACATAAAATAATACCCAGATAAAACCAATCGAAAATACAAACCAATAACCTTCCGTGACGTTGGCCATGAGTTTCGATAGGGTAAGTGGATATGGAATGATAGTTTCTTTTTACGAGGGGTTGGGGGTTATTTAATGTTCATTATCTTACCGGTAAGAGAAGTTTTATTATATATTACCGGTAAGATAATTTTGATTTCCAGTTCTTCTCATCTTCCTACTGTAATCAGTCCAAATCTCTCGCTCGTCCATATCTCTCTCGCTCGCGCCTCTTCCCACTGAAATCAGTCCATCTTCCAAACAAATCTCTCTTGCTCGCGCTTCTACTCTCTTTCTCGCTCGCACTGCTGCTCTCTTAGCCCGAGTACCCTCACTCTTACTCTCTTTTCTTCCTTTCCTCAATTTCTTATTACGTGTAGTGGTATCTATTGTGTGGGAGTGAAATGTTTCTATGCGGTGTTTGAAGATGGGGTCCACATTGTAGTTGTGGATAGTCAACTAATTTTTTCTCTCTCAATTATTTTATATTTATTATGATATATCAATTGTTATAAACCAATTTTGTTTTAAGTGTGTAAAACTATGACCTAGGGCTAATCATTGTTTCTTTTCATTAGAATTATTATTATTATCTCTATTAAAATCTGATTTTGTTGGTTGTTTGAGTACATGCTTGATAGTAGTAAATGCTTGCATGTTATCTGTTTGATTTATTGCTTCAAAGAACTAATTTTTTTATCTAGAAAATAAATAGATAAATAAATTTTGATTCAGACAAAAAAGTTGACAAGAATTGAAGGTAATGTAAATAAGTTTATAAACATATAAAAAAATAAACTTCCCAAGTAAAAAACCTATCTCTGTATCTGACTATATTCACCTCTATGTGGAAATTTATAAAACGAAAACAAGAAGATCAAGTTGGATAAAAAAATAACATGCCTTTTCCAAAGAGAGCTTTGCAATGAACTGTGTCCATCGGAATCCCTAGGGATTCAGCAAATGCATCAATCATTTCAAATCCTACCTGCTTAGAAGAAGAGAGAAAAAATTAAATAAGTTAGCATTAAAGAAGTATAAATTAGGGTTTTCTTTATTTGTTGTTAGTACTACCAAGCCAAGCAGACCATACATTGTGCCTTGTTCCTTTGTATTTAAGACTGGGATTGCCCAAACCAACAAACAGCCATGGCTGAGACAGAGAAGAAGGATAAAGAGAAGGTGTGCAGAAGTAGCGCCTACAGAGCCTGTTAATTACCATCTCCAATCATTTCCTCCCCAAATACTCTGCCATCAACAACAAATTGGGGTATCAAAATATTAATCAGCACTCGTGATTGAGATTGAATAATTTTTTTTACTTTTTGCTTCTTTCTTCTTTTTCCACATCCGAAAATATACTTCCTAGGGGGGCATGATGACTATATAATAAAAAATCCACATAAATCTACAATCACTGATATCTGCAAATAATATGTTTTCGGCACAAAAATTATAGATTTCCGTCAAAGCACCTTAATTGTAGACTTTTCTAAATCAACCAAACAAAAACAAAAAACGAAAAAATAGTTTCTGTTCTTAATTTCTTTTTCTATCTTTTCTCTCTTATTTTTCTTTAACAAAAACAACAATTTATTATTATTATTATTTTTTTTTTTTTTTGAGGGGGGTGGGTAATGTTAAGTTTTATTCAAGAATCAAAGAAAACAAAGCAACCGTTTAAATCATTTGTTTGCATTATATTAATCATTTTCTAAATAAACTGTGTGAACTGAATTCAATAAGATAATAGTAAATCTTAAAATGCATTGACATGAACAACTAAATTGAAAATGTAGGCAGAAAAATTAGAGATTGGGACACACAAATTATGGCAAAGAAAATTAGTGAAGTGAACAGAGTTTAGGGCAGAGAAATTACGGGGGGAAATAGGTCAACTACTTCTTCCATGAAAATCTGATTTTTATATATATAAATATAGAGAGAGAGAGAGGACTTACTCACTGCCGGGTTGTTCCTCTGCTGCTCGCCGTCGATCGTCGGTAGCCGATCGTTCCCCTTTACTGGATGGATACAGAGGACGCGAGCAACTGAGAGGAGTTTCTTTTATTTGTTCTCTAAAATCTGAATTTACGTTTTTTTGAAAAACGTACCCAAAAAATATCAATGCGTTTAATTTGAGTTTTTTAGATGATGTATTTTTAAAATTGAATTTTTTTGATTTTTTTTTATTTTTAGTAAATATTTTTAAAATTTTAAACATTTTTTTTATTTTTTAGATGTAACTTATTTAGATGTATTTAAAAAATTAAAAAAAATTATGAAAAAACATTTTAAAAAATTAATAAATATATAAAAATACAAAAAATGTACTAAATTGCCGTATTTTTTTGTATTTTTGATATTTAGTGAATTTTTAAAAGATTTTTTTTACAAATTTTTTACTTTTTAGATATATTTATATTAAGTATGTTTAAAAAGTAAAAAAAAAATTGCTAAAAATATCTAAAAAATTCAAAAAATAATACAAAAAATAAGAAACTAAAATTTTATTTAAAGTGTTTTTAAAAAAATGAAACCAAGCAAAATAAATCACTAATGTCATTAAAAAATTTAGGGCCCGTTTCTTTCAATACTTATGTACCATATTATGATAATTTTTAAAATAAATTAATTAATTACATATATAATTTTACATAAATTTAAACTTAATTTAAATTATATTAATTCTGCCTATTTTATATGAATTCTATTTGACAAATATTTATTTTTATATATTTTTTTATCTCCACAAACCCGATACTTATTTGAAAATTTGATTTATAAATCCCATAGTGAGTGATGATGATCCATTTAGTCCCAAACATTTTTTTATAGACCAATTAATTCCATTGATTTTGAAAATGTAAATTTAATATATTATTTATAAATTAAATTTACAATTATACCTTTTATTTATATTGTATTTCCTTCTTTTTTTTCCTTTTTTGCTAGAAATGTAATATACACAATCTATGAGAATTAAATTTAGGGAGACTTATTTATAAATCCCTTTTCAGACACTTATGGTAGGCTAAGTCCTGTGTAATTTCTTATAAAGTCTCAAGTCCTATTTAGATATGAATGTATTTCATAAAATCCTACATAAACGTAACGTGACGTGACACTTATATGAACGTAACGTGACACCTATATTAACGTAACGTGACACCTACATAAACGTAACATGTCATCTACATAAACGTAACGTAACGTGTCACGTTACGTTTCGCAAACTTAAATGAGTTTTTATTTTTTTAAATTGAATGTGAAAATGTTGCTGGTTTATGTTGGAGTCACGTTACGTTTCATATAAATATGATCTATGATAACATTCAATTTTCTATATAGGAAATTGAATGTTGCCATAGATCATAGGTGTTACGTTACGTTTATGTACGTGTCACGTTACGTTACGTTTATGTAGATATGATCTATGGTAACATTCAATTTCTTATATAGAAAATTGAATGTTGCCATAGATCATAGGTGTCACGTTACGTTTATATAGGTGTCACGTTACGTTATATTTATGAATGTGAAAATGTTGCTGGTTTATGTCGGTGTCACGTTACGTTTCATATAAATATGATCTAGGAAATTGAATGTTGTCATAGATCTAGGTCGCACGTTACGTTTATATAGGTGTCACGTTACGTTACGTTTATGTAGATAAGATATATGGCAACATTCAATTTCCCCATAGATCATAGGTGTCACATTACGTTTATGTAGGTGTCACGTTACATTACGTTTATATAGATATGATCTATGGTAACATGCAATTTCCTATATAGGAAATTAAATGTTGCCATAGATCATAGATGTCACGTTACGTTTATATAGGTGTCACGTTACGTTACGTTTATATAGATATGATCTATGGTAACATTCAATTTCCTATATATGGTTTTACTATTATTTATGATATTAACAACTAATATTGAGGGTAAATGTGTCAACAAACTTCTCACAGGACTTATGGGAACATAAGAGTTTTTTAGTAGGACCATATGTACCATAAGTCTCCCTAATAGGACTTATAAATAATTTTTCCTTAAATTTATGATGAATTTTTATATAAGAATCTTTTTTATTTTAAAAATATTTCAAAATGAGTACAAAAATGACTTGAAATATGAGATTCTACAACCATTTCAAAATGATATGGGATTCTTCAAATATTTCAAAAAGAGTATAAAAAAATTTTAATAAGTTTTGGGCAAATATATAATTTTAAACTGTAACATTCTAATGTAAGCAGGGTCAAACTAACACTTTATGTTAACACTACAGAAAAATTCTTATGGCAGGCTTGTCTTAAACTTAATAAAAAGAG